TTGGAATTGACTCGGTAGCAGTGGGTTTGGTTGTCTTATGTTGTGAACCCTACCATTTCCTGAATGTCACTGTGATGAACAACAGTGACGATAGTCAACCAGTGCCAAATGGTCACCACGCTGGCATTTCACACTTCTTGTGCCCCTGGTCCTCCTCACAACCCAGTCCTGTGGGAGCCATAATTACGTCCATCCCATGCATGGCTGGGGAAGCACACTGGGCGAGGACAAGCCCAACAGGGCAGTGGGATTCAGCCAGAGATCTGGAGTCCCTCCGCCTCAGGGTGTTGAGTCAGGGTCCCTGTTAATAAAGGCCAAGGATTCAAGTCTACCTATCAAAGGCCTGGTGATTTGCTTCTGAAAAACCAGCCCTTGGAAACCTTGTGCAGCCAAGTTCCAATCTGACCCCCGTGGGGTGCCCATGACTCAAAACTAACTAGCTGGGTCTGGCACTGGCAGGTGTTTAATCACCAGGTTGTTGCCCCTCTTTTGTGTTAAAGTGACACTTGCTTATAGATACCACCCCACAGTAGTGCATATGCGAGAGTCTCACGTAGGGAGTCTGTGATTCTCTTTTATCCACACAGGGCTTCACACAGTGCATGGTAAACACTAGTGTCCAACATGTGTTTGTCAGGTGAACAAACCACTGGGTGAGGGAACATCCATTTGGCCTGTGATCCTGGTTCACCTGTTGCTGTTGCTCATACCCCCTCGGTTCTGATGGGGCACCACAGGCTGCCCCCTGATCCCAGGGCTCCTTCAAGTATTTCAGGGTGGGCTTCCCCTGTGTTGCAGATGTATGACAACATAGCAGCCCTGAGGTTCAATGATGGGGACAGTGGGGAGAAGCTCGTGTCGGCCATGATCTCAGCAGAGGGGGAGGTCATGGAGTTCCGAAAGATCATCCGGGCTGAAGGCCGCGTGGAGGACTGGATGACGGCAGTTCTGAACGAAATGAGAAGAACAAACAGACTGATTACCAAAGAGGCTATCTTCAGATACTGCGAAGACAGAAGCAGGTAAGCCATAGGTGCAGGCATGTGGCCCTTGGTCATATTCATAGTCACAGGGGGTTAATTTTAAGGGTTCGAGAGAGGGATGCACTCCTCGGTGCAATCAATCATGCAAGACCAAAAGGGCAACATTTGCCCCAAAACAAAGCTCACAAGGCAGGAAGGGGCAGGGAAGAAGGACAAATGGAAACGGAGCCCAGGAAGGAAGTGGGAAGAGTATGTTACAGAGAGGGGATTGCAGCCAGTGTCATGAAACAAAATGTGTATAAATGGTTGGATGGAAAATGCATTTGCTCCATGAACTTTCACCCAGACCACAATAAAAAGTAAAAAAAAAAATTAATAGTTCCAAGTAGGTTGCCATTTTAAATGAAATTTTCCTGGTCTCAGTAGCTGAATTAGCTGGCGTATGTCTGTCTTTAAATTAGCAGCTAGTACAGTGCCTCTCAAAGTGCTGTCCTTGGACCAGCAGCACTGGCATCCCTGGGGAGCTCGCTGTTGTAGTCAGCAGCTGTTGAGTCAGCCCCTGATGCATAGTGGTGACCCCGTACCCAGTGGACAGAAATGTCACCCGCTTTTGCACCATCCCCACGACTGGTTGTGGATTGGGTTGTTGGTGGCAGCAGAGGAAGGAAGTACAATCTGACGAGTTAAAAATGTCTGTGCACCTCTTGCCTCCCCCAGATGGCCTTCACCTGCATGTTCAGCAGGGTGACTCAGCTGAAATGAGCTCACTGATCTACTTGAGTGTTTCAGTATCACGGGAAGGCAGGCCCAGTGTCCTGGTATTTGACAGACACTGTGTTCATCTTAGGAGCTCTAGTACAGTGCCTCTCAAAGGCTGTCCTTGGCCCAGCAGCACTGGCATCCCTGACAGTGAACGTCTTTTCCTGTGTCAGTTGGCTACTTTTGAATCTTCTTTGGAGAAAGGTCTATTAATGTCCCTTGCCACTGTAAAATTAGATTGTTGATCCTTTTGCCCTTGAGTGACAAGAGTTCTTTACATTTTCTGGGTATTAAACTTTAATCATATCTATGGTAACCAAGTATTTTCTCCCAGTCTATAGGTTGTCTCTTCACTTTCTTTATGTCCAGAAGTTTTCAATTTTAATAGTTGTTGTTGTTAGGTCCCATTGAGTCATCTCTGACTCATAGCAACCCTATGCACAGCATAATTTTAAGAAGTCCAGTTTATCTATTGTGTCTTCTATTGCTTGTGCTTCTGGTGTCATATCTTAAGAATCCATTGTTAAAGTCTAGATTCTGAGGCTTTATAAAGAAATACATTCTTAACGGGACTGTTCTCCTTGCCGACCCCTGGAGAACATCTCCTCAAGGTGTGCTTTTTTGTAGAGTCGATTGGATGCTCCTGTATCAAGGCATGGTGGTGCTGGCTGCAAGCCAGGTGTGGTGGACCTGGGAGGTGGAAGATGTCTTCCGCAAAGTGAAACAAGGGGAAAAGCAGGCCATGAAGAACTATGGCAAGAAAATGCACCAGCAAATTGATGAGTTGGTAACTCGGATCACTATGCCCTTAAGCAAAAATGACAGGAAAAAATACAACACGGTTCTCATCATTGATGTGCATGCCAGAGACATAGTGGATTCTTTCATAAGAGGCAGGTGAGGGCCTCCCAAGAGGATCCTTTGTCATCCTTTGGCCTTTCTCAGCCGTCCCCCCTCCCTCCTCCTCATCTGCCTTCTCTCCCGGGCACATCCCCTCCCTCCTCACTCATCTCCTGTTTCTCATCTCCCAGCATCCTTGAGGCCCGTGAGTTTGAATGGGAAAGCCAGCTGCGGTTCTATTGGGACCGAGAACCAGATGAGTTGAACATCCGCCAGTGCACGGGGACCTTTGGCTATGGTTACGAGTACATGGGTTTGAACGGGAGGCTGGTCATCACCCCCCTTACAGACCGGATTTACCTAACTCTCACTCAGGTGATTGCTGACTTCCCTCTGGTGGTTATGACTTGCCTTGGGGCTGTGCATTTTTCTCTAAGCATGCCTATGGTAGTTGTGATAGTAAGGGGTATCATAGCTTTAATATGTAAAGGATTTTCAATTTGGAAAATAGCCCCATTGCCACCGTCTGGGATTGGGATGTTGCAAGTTCAGGAGGCTCCCAAGACCAGGTTCAATAATTCCCTAGAAGGACTTGCAGAACTCAGCAAAGCCGTTATGCTCACAGTTACAGTTTATTACAGTGAAAGGATACAGATGAAAAGCAGCACTAGAGAGAGACCCACGGGCCAGGGTCCAGGAGGGACCACGTGTGGCGCTTCAGGTGTCCCTCCCAGTGGAGTTGTATAGACAGCACTTACTTCTCCCAGCAACAGTGCGTGTGACAACATGCACCGAGGATTGCCAACCGTGGAAGCTCACCTGAGCCCGAGCACCTGGAGTTTTTTCGAGGGATTGATTGATCGCATAGATGTGGCTGAACACCGTCAAGGCTGATCTTAGTCTCCAGTACCTCTAGGAGTCAAGCTGATGCATGGTCGAAGGTCCCTACCAGAATCAGATTCACATTGTTAGACTATCTTCAGTGGCCCAAGGGCCCAGGCAAACAACACTTCTATCAGGCAGGACACTCTAAGAGCTTAGTGGTTACCTCCCAGGAGCCAAAGGGACCAACCTTTCTCTGGGCAAAAGGTGAATCTTCTGTGCAGAAGTACATATGCCCATAGGTATCACCCTGGTACCATTGGAGCATCATCTCAGAGCAGTCACCAAACCTGTTTCCACCTTGTTGCTTAGTCCTTGATTCACTGTTGTTGTTGTTGTTATGTGCCGTCGAGTCGGCCCTGACTCATAGCGACCCCTCCTTGGGTTTCCGAGGCAGTATCGCTACGGAAGTAGGATTGCCCAACTAGTCCCTTAGAATAGGGGTCAGTAGAAGTCAATAGAAAAACACAGGAAAGAAATGTTTAAGCTAAGGGATGGTCAGCAAGGGTGAGTGAACTTATTCACTGACACACACACACACACACACACACATTCCACAAATATTGTCACGGTCCTCACCTTGAAGATGACACTTGTTTCCATATGTGAATCAGAAACCAGATCTTTTGTATTTGATTTCTAATAGGCTCTGTCCATGTATTTGGGAGGGGCTCCTGCTGGCCCGGCAGGTACCGGCAAGACCGAGACCACCAAGGACCTCGCCAAAGCCTTGGGCTTGCTCTGTGTTGTGACCAACTGTGGCGAAGGCATGGATTACAAAGTAAGGCCTTGCTGTCACCATCTCGCTAGGCAGAGAGCTCAGAGTGTTGACGGTGGGATAGCATCTCACCTCACACTCATCCGTGAAATGACCTGGTGTGGTTGGAAGAAAGCAGTGGAAATCTTTCCTTTCCAGGGTCTCAGGAATTAAATGTCTGTTTTGTTAGTAGAGCAGGAGCCCCAAACTTAAATACCCACAGGGGTCAGGTAGATGACGTGAGAGAGGGAATCAGCCAACAGAGATAATATAGAGGGCTGGGGACTGCGGCCAGTTGGCCAACTGTGCTCTGTCTAAAGGGGGCGGGCACCACATTCGGCTTCAGTCAATTGTTGCCATTTGGGAAAGTGCATGTAGTGTTGCTTGATTTCCCATTATCTCAAGAGAAGCCAGAAATCCTGAGTTTTACACGACAGTCTTGATTTGTAAAATCTTATTAGTGGCCTCAGAAGTCTCACCAGAAAGATCTTAGTTGGCTGGCTGGCTGGCCGCTTTTCTGTGAATTCAGATATCTCGGTTTTTTAGTTTAGAGAACATACCTGTACACATGACACGTGTAGATTTAGAGACAAAGCACCGTGGTTTGGACATCTCTTCCACTACAGGCAGTCGGGAAGATCTTCTCGGGCCTGGCCCAGTGTGGGGCGTGGGGCTGCTTTGACGAGTTTAATCGCATCGATGCCTCGGTCCTCTCCGTGATCTCGTCTCAGATTCAGACAATCCGGAACGCTTTGATCCATCAGCTAACCACGTTCCAGGTGAGGACGGGTGGGAAGCCTGCCCGATCACGCCCCCAGGAAACTTGCCACTGTGCCTTTGAGACACCAGCCCCGATTTTCTCTTGATGAAGGTTTGCTGGATTTTTGTTTACAAACTGAGCTGGTCAGAGTCCCTAAAGGATCACCATCTTTGACACAGACTGTACTGTTCCACAGGCCTCACCCTAGTTCCAGACACATGGCTGTCATCATAAGACAAATAAGTCGCTTTTCTGCAATAAGTGGTGCTCAGGACACTTTAAAAGAAGGACTGCATGCTCTTGGCAACTTCTCCAGTTTGAGAAAAACTGAGTTAAAAACATTCAGGTTCCACTCAGTCAAAAATGCCCCTCAGCTGAAGTTACCACAGTGAATGAGCTATTTAGTCGTCATGCCTGGTGAAGACATGGCACCTGGTGAAAATACGGCACTGTGATGAGTGGAGTTTTTAAGCTTATTACCAAAATGAAAAGACAGAATGTTAAACTTGTTTGAGAACCCTGCCCCCCCAAGAATACACTGAGACTGGGGTTGGAGAAGTGCACGTTCGTTGCGTCAGATGAGGCTGGGTCTGAATCTGGAGAGATGGGACGGTGTGTGTTATCAGTAGCCCGGAAATGGGTTTTCGCGACACGGATCAGCGTGGGCCGTCTGCACCAGGGTCCTCTGCGGGCCCAGCATGGTTCCTCTGCCGCTGTCCCTTCTCCTGTGCTCTTGTCACCCTGCGTCACTCACTCCACAGACACACTATGCCCTGTGATGCCACATGTCTGCCTGAAGTTCTCCTTTCTTCTCCTTTGTCTGGAAACTCCTATTCATTCTCTGGAACCTTAAAGAACCTCATTGGGAGGCTCGGGACCAGGATTCAGCCTGGGGTGGCCTTGGCTTTCTGTCTGCTTTCTCCTGGACTCAGTGGGGGTGATTTTCCAGGGATTACATAAACTGGACACTGGTAAAAATGTCCAGGATTCCAGTAAAGCTTCTGGATAGATTCTTTCTTCCTTGTTAGACCTTCCGTAATGTTTTTAGGGTGGAGCTGATTGCTCCCATGGGAGGGAAATTTCACCTGCGATGCACTGACGTTCCCAGAAGCTGAGTTTGTAAGAGCAGGCCTCTTAGTCATCTGCAGAGGGCTCCAGTGGGCTCCTGGGGAGTGGTGAGGCTTCTCTGAGTGTGGACTTGGAAACAAAACAGTGCCTCCTTTTCTGAGGAGTGTCAGCCCTTTGCTAGCGCTCTTGTCCCTGAGGTAGCCTGGGCCCCTTAAAAAGAAAATGTTCTGCCCTGTTTGACCGATGAGTGAAAGAAGTGAAATGGTGAAGTCTCCGTAGAGAGACAAGTTCACCAAGGGACGACTGAGGTGCAGCCTCAGGCTTGCTGGCCGTCGTGCGTTGGTGTTGGGTCGTCATGGCGACCTCTCGCACAGCGTGTCCTGTTGCCTGGCCCTGCGTCACCTTCATGGTCGTTGGTGGGCTTGATTCCCTGGTCATGGCCACTGTGTTTTGAGTGCCTTCTAAGCTAGGGGGCTCATCTGCCAGCACTGTATTGGACAACAACAGTCTGTCGTAGTCCATAAGATTTTTACTGGCTAATTTCCAGGAGTAGATTTCCAGGCCTTTCTTCCTAGTCTGTCTTAGTCTGGAAGTTCCACTGGAACCTGGGGACCATGAGTGACCCTGCTGGTACTTGAAGAGGTGGGGGCATAGCTGCCAGCATCACAGCAGTGTGCAGGCCACCAGAGTGTGTGCGACACACTGACAGGCAGTGGCTAAAAAATACAGAGATTCCTGTGGTTTGTTGGAAGCATGAAGACTGGTTTCTTGGAAGGTGCTGAGGTCGCTTCTTTAGGTGCAGGCTCCCTGGTCGGGCTGGGGAGGGGGAAAGGGGTGACTTTAGTGACAGTTCCATTTTTATTTACCAACGAACACTCATGAACCAAACGATATTGAAGCTCTGCTTTGTGAGAAGTGGCAGCTGGATGCTGTTTGGTGTAATGGCTCATTTGTTTGTCACGGGCTTCCTGTAAGGTAGATTCTGCAGAAAAGGCAACAGACTCAGAGAGATGGAGTGACCTGATGGGCCTCACACAGCACGTGTGTGGTGGGGCTTGGACTCAGTCCAAGCTGCGCTCCCTCCACACCGACTTTGAGCAGGTGGAGGGCCTTGGGTCAGATCAGAGTTCTTGGTGTCACCTGGAACTGCCCCCTCAGCAGACTTGGGGCTTTGGCAAGAAGACTCAGCCTTTAGCACCCGGAAAGGGGAGGGCGAGCCGGGTGCCGTGTGCCTCAGGCCCTTGGAGACTAGATAGCCCTGCCGCTCGCCCACGGCCTGCCTCCCTCCCTGTTGCCCTCTAGTTCGAAGGGCAGGAGATCTCCCTGGACTCGAGGATGGGCATCTTCATCACCATGAACCCCGGCTACGCGGGCCGCACGGAGCTGCCCGAGTCGGTGAAGGCGCTCTTCCGGCCCGTGGTCGTGATCGTCCCCGACCTGCAGCAGATCTGCGAGATCATGCTGTTCTCAGAGGGCTTCCTGTGGGCCAAGGTGAGAGCGTGGCGCCCCACTTCCTGGCCGGGAGTCCTCTGCTTCCTGTCACTCCCCCACTTTCTCAAATTACAGCTTTTCATTCTGCAAAAATGGAAAACTGGCAAGAAACCTGTAATAGTCACACCCTCCCCCAGCGCTAGCCCCTCATGGTAGTGCTGTGCCTACCGACCTCTTAGTTAACAGCTGAAGCTTTAGCCACCATGCCACCAGGGCTCCTCAATAATAGGTTTAGGTCAAAATAAACGATAAGCATATTTTTAAGTGTGATTTCTATGATCTGAAGGGCTGGATGGGTTCTGGTGTTTGATTTAAGGTGGTTAAGATCTCCCCCCAGAATTTTAGGACAGTCCTCCAATGTTGGACAGGCGGGCATTCTTTTAAATGAGTTCCCGGTTTTTAACAGTTAAACACAGAAAGCCCGCCTGATACTCCTGCAGATTAGAGACAAGACGTGCTGTGACTAGACCACTCCATTTGAGCCGCGTCGGGTCCAGTTACTTGCTCTTGTACAACGATATTCCGTTGCTTTCACATGATTTATTTCTTTCTCCCGTTATCTTTTATCACAGACTCTGGCCAAAAAGATGACCGTCCTGTACAAGTTGGCTCGGGAGCAGCTCTCCAAACAACACCATTACGATTTTGGGCTCCGAGCCCTGAAGTCGGTGCTGGTTATGGCTGGCGAGCTGAAAAGGGGCTCCTCTGACCTTAGGGAGGTAGGGCCGTTCACTGCCGTTCTCTGGCAATTCGTGTGGTTCTTGTGCATTTAATACACTGTGGGACAGAGACAGGGCTCCAAACCATACTCATTGCAAGCTTTAAGTCTTAGCTGTCACTTCGCTTAGTTGTCTGGGGTTAATTTGGTGTCTTACCTTGATACTGTTTTCTTCTAATTGGACTTATTACCTCAGGGTCAAGGTCATTGTCCTCACTCTTGGACCAGCCTTAATGATGCTCCAGAGCACGCAGTCAGTGACCGCAGAGCGGTGGGTGGAGGGGCAGGGGAAACAAAATTCTAACCTGTGGGAGCATGACCACGAGGTTTGTTTTTTTCCCCTCTTTGCAATACAATAAGAAGAACGGTCCCGTGTGTTGTACACAGCACAGCGTGGTGAGTGCCGCCGTGTGGCCGTGGACCCGCACGGTCCCGTCTGCACGGCTGGCTGTCGTTGCCTGGGACACGGGAGCGTCCCGACCAGGGAACGGCCGTAGGGTTGAGGTGCTCATGTTCCCTAGGACGTGGTGCTGATGAGGGCCCTGCGAGACATGAACCTGCCCAAGTTTGTGTTCGAGGACGTCCCCCTCTTCCTCGGATTGATTTCTGATTTGTTTCCTGGACTGGACTGCCCGCGCGTCCGCTACCCCAATTTCAATGACGCCGTGGAGCAGGTGCTGGAGGAGAACGGCTACGTCATCTTACCAGTCCAGGTGATGCGGGTCGGAGAGGCACACTCGTGGTGGCTTCTCAGGCACAGGGTGTGGGAGACTGAAGTCGTTTGTTTTGGGGCCTGACCATCTAAATGCTCTCTAACCCCCACACCCTGCTTTAATTTCCCTAGAGCCACAGTTGCTAGTAAAATGTAGTGACTACGTGTACTATATGTATATAAAATTTGCCATTTTAACCATTTTTAAGTGTATAATTCAGTAACATTAATTACATTCACCACGTCATGCAACTATCACCGCTGTCCATTTCTAGAACCTTTTCATCCCCTAAATGGAAGTTTATGCCCCTTCAGCAGTAATTGTCCACTTCCCATCCCCCGGCCCCAATGACCACTGATAAACTTGTGTCTGACTTGGCAGCCATTGTTGGCATGGCCTGGAGGTTCCTCAGTAAGTCAGATGTGGCATTCCCATCTGACCCAGCAGTCCCACTCTGGCTAAGAGAGCTAAAAGCGTGCCCCAAGGGTCAGCCTCATTCACAATCGCCAGGATGTGGAAACAAACCAAGTGTCCATCAGCAGATGAATGGGGAAGCAAACTGTGGTCCATCCGGGCAGCGGAATATTGTCATGTCCCCATAGTAGGAAGCAGAACTGCCCTGTAGGGTCTGTTGTTGTTGTTGTTATTTGCCATCAAGTCGGCCCCGACTCATAGCGACCCCTCCTTGGGTTTCCGAGGCAGTATCACTATAGAAGTAGATTGCCCAACCTTCCTTCCGAGGCATGGCTAGTGGGTTTGAACTGCCAACCTTCTGGTCAGCAGTCAAGTGCCTTAGGCACTATGCTACCAGAGCCCCTCTGTAAGGTCTCCAAGGGTGTAAATCTTTACAAAAGCAGAATGCCACATCTTTCTCCTATGGAATGACTGATAGGTTCTGGTTAGTAGCCAAGAGCTCAACTATTGTGCCAGCAGGACTCCTTAGTGGAATATTATTTTGCCATGAAAAGGAATGAAGTTTTGATACTTGCTACAAAGTAGATGAACCTTGAAAGCATGCTGTTGAGTGAAACAGCCAGTCATAAAAGGCTGAATATTGTATGATTTATATGAAATGCCCAGAACAGGGAAATCCATAGAGACAGGAAGCAGATGAGTATTTGACAGGGGCTGAGGGAGTAGGGAGCCTGCAGGAGGGAAATAGCTCCTGGGCACATCGTATCTTGTCGGGGTGATTAAAGTGCTCTAAAATTGATTGGTGATGGTTGCACACTCTGAATATACTAAAAACCATTGAATTGTACACTTTCAGGGAATGAGTTATATGCTATGAGAGTTGTCTCTTAATAAAACCCAAAAACCAAACCTACTGCCATCAAGTTGATTCCAACTCATAGCAACCCTGTCAGACGGAGTGGAACTGCCCCATGGGGTTTCCAAGGCTGTAAATCTTCACAGCAACAGACTGCCTCATCCCCCCGCCCCCCCCACACACAGAGTGGCTGGTGGGTTCCAAATGCTGGCTTTGGTTAGCAGCCCAGTGCTTTAACCACTGTGCCCCCAGAGCTCCATATCTCAATATAGTTTTGTTTTTTAAACCCAGATGTGTTTGACCTCATTTCCCTGTGTGTGTGCCCCACAGGTGGATAAAGTGGTGCAAATGTTCGAGACCATGTTGACACGCCACACGACGATGGTGGTAGGGCCCACCGGAGGAGGCAAGTCCGTGGTCATCAACGCTCTGTGTCAGGCCCAGACCAAGTGAGTGGTCCCCCACGCCAAGGGCGCTCCAGGGGAAGTCATTGCGGCATCACCCAGTCTCACTTCGCTCCGTGATCTATTCCCTGGAAGGGTGAATTTATCCCAAACACCCTTTAAACTCGGAGCGTCTTTGCTTGTTTCGTTGACAGTTTCAGTTAGCTCTTATTAGAAGGCGGAAGAGTGACCGTGTGCACATCTGACCGTGAGCAGGTTATTTGTCGTGTGAGAATTTCATGAAATGGCCTGTAAGAACGTTTTGAACATTAACTCGTGAGTCAGTCTCCCGGGACTCAGAGTGCTCCTTTAAAGTGACCCAGGACCCATTGTCCTGCCACACTGCTGTGGCGCCAGGTGGCCAGAAAGCGCCTCCTCCCGCCGTCAGACACGGTCATGACCCTTGTGGCCATCATCTCCGCGGGAGCCGTCCTGCCTGCAGGACACCATGGTCCACCCCCGCATCCAGAATCCCGGGGAGCCTGGAGCGCGCTGATAGCCTCGTGCTGCAAACCGACTTTCTCAGGTCTCACTTCACTCTGGAATAGGCTCCACGTAGAAATACCTGACAGGGGGCTAAGGTTCCAGCGGAAATATCAATCAAATACCGTCTTGTGGCATTTCTAGATAAAAACCCAACACTGTCAAACCAGGGGCCGTCGAGTCGGCTCTGACTCCTGGACCTCCCTGTGTATCCGAGCAGACCTGTGCCCAGGGCCTTCCGGTGACTGAGTTTACCTGTACCTCTCATCACCAGGCCTCCCCTCCGAGGTGCCTCTGGGTGGACGTTAGCCTGTAGACTTTCGGTTAGTTGCCGAGTGCTTTACTGTTCGTGGCACCCAGGGACCCCTCACTTCTAGACTGAAAAAAAAAACAAAAAAAACACTCCAGACTCACTGCCATTCAGTCAATTAGACTCCTAGCAACTCCCCCTTGGGTTTCCGAGGCGGTATTTCTACGGAAGTAGATTGCCCAACCTTCCTTCCGAGGAGTGGCTGGTGGGTTTGAACCGCCAGCCTTCTGGTTTGCGGTCAGATGCCTTAGGCACTGTGCCACCAGATAGTCTTTATAAAATAAAATCTTATGATCATGTGATTGTCATTGGTTCTTTTTATCTTTTCCCGTATTTCAGGTGAGTCCTCAGTGGACAGTGGTTAACTCTGAGAGGACCGTGCTGTGGTCACGCTGGGTCCCATTCTTTACTCCGGTTAATTCAATGTCGGGGAACTTGTACAGCTCTCACATACGTGTGTGTGTACGTGTGCAGTTACGGTTTATGTTCTTTATGTGGAGATTAGTTTCCTTGAAGTGAATTAATCACGCGGCAGCATGGACTCTGCAGCTGTGGGAGTGGGAAGCGCCCTCCTCCGTGACCAATAAAGTCACCAGCACAGGGCAGACGCTGTGCTGTCAGTACCAGGAGCACGGGTAGTTCAGAGACTGGACGGCTAAGTATTGTGTCCTGTGCACCAACAATTATGAAATATTTACACCGATATGAAATATGCATGAATATGTGTGGACTCAGTTACGAATATGTAATATGCATGAGTCTATAAAGGATTTAGTGCTGAGTATGTAACATACGTGTCCATTAGTGATCAGCTTCTGAGTACAGGCGTATGGAGGACATGGAATTAGCTGTTTGTTGCCTTCAAAAGGCAGCACTCCATTTTCAGTTTGGTGTCATTTTTGTGGGAGCGCCTGTTAGTAGTGAAATGTGGTTCCTTTACGTTTAGTGTAAGCCATTAACTGAGCAGGAAGCCCAGCTGTGGATTGGTCTGAGACATCCAGTCAGGTGCGACTCCAGTTCCGCACACAGGCAGCCGGGTCGCTGCCCCCGTGGTTCTCACCTCCCCGAGCCATGGCTGACGCTCTTCTCCGATGCAGGCTTGGGTTGCTGACAAAGCTGTACATCCTGAACCCCAAGGCTGTGAGCGTCATAGAGCTCTACGGCATCCTGGACCCGGCCACCCGTGACTGGACAGACGGCGTGCTGTCCAACATCTTCAGGGAGATCAACAAGCCCACCGATAAGAAGGAGCGCAAGTGAGTGTCTGTGAGGAGGAAAGAGCTGGGTTAAGTAATGTGAGTGTCGCCAGCTGCTGTCAAGTCTGGCCCCGACTTGGGCGACACCATGCACAGCTGAATGAAGAAACACTTGCCCGGTTGTGCACTGTCCCCGTGAGTGGTCGTGGACTGGACGGTGTGATCTGTAGGGTTCCCACTGACTGATTTTCAGAAGCACATCTCCAGGCCTCTCTCTCTGGTCTACCTTTGGTCTGGCAGCTCTGCTGAAACCTGTTTAGCATGGAGCACTCAGGTCTCCACTGACAGATGGTGATGGCTGTGCCTTAAGTTCCTTGGCTGCCTCTTGAACCCAGGTCTCCCAGGTGGAAGGTGAGAGTTCTACCACTGAACCACCCCTTACCCTATTTGTAATTCTAACTGTATTTGTAATGTTGTTGTTATTGTTGTTATGTGCCGTTGAGTCAGACCTGACTCATAGAGACCCCTCCTTGGGTTGCTGAGGTAGTATCACTACGGAAATAGATTGCCCCATCCTCCTTCTGAGGAATGGCTGGTGGGTTTGAACCTCCAGCCTTCTTGTTAGCAGTCAAGTGCCTTATGCGCTATGCTACCGGAGCTCCCTTTTGTAATGTTAGTTAATTAGAATTACAAATAGGGCAAGGGTTAAGAATAGTGTTGGAGGGTCCGGCTTGGACCCAGATGGACTGAAGTTCAGTTCCAGGAGACTGTGCTTATGAAGGGCAGGTACTGTCCTCAGTGCTTTTAGAGACAGTACTCCCATCAGTCCTTCTCAGTCATTGAAGTGTTCTCATCTCATCACGGAGGAAACCGAGCTCTGGAGAGGTTCAGAAATTTGCCCCTGGGCCAGGGACTTGGAGTTGGCCCCCGGGCTCTGAGCCCTCGGATGTGGCTGCCGTGCCACCATCCTACATGGCAGGAGCTTCAAGGGCTGGGGGCTCTTCTGAGCCACAGCCGTCTCCCCTGTCAATGCTGCCCATCCTGCTTCCCCCACCAGGCACCGCGGGAGGGTCAGTGAGGTCACGCACCAGGGAAAAGTCTTCAGCGTGAGTTCCAGCAATGCCTGTTAGGTCAACCTGAGAGAAGTCCTCAGCTTACCTTCTTGTCGAAATCCCTTTGAGAAAAAACAGTCAGCACTTTAAAAGCTTCTTAACTAACAAGAGTCTAAAGTCCCAACTGATAACTTTTTAGAACTAGACTTTCTTTTTTTAGAAGAGTTGGAGGTTTACAGAAAAGACAGCGAGTCCCCATAGACCCGTCTCGCTCTGTAGTTTCTCCTGTTAACACCTTGCAGTGAGGTGTTGTGTTTGTTTCGAATGGCAGGTCAATATTGATACGTTAGTGTAACTACAGTTCCTAGTTTAGATGAGGGTTCACTCTTTGGGTTACATGGGTCTGTGCGATTTGACAGATCTGTAATGTCATGTGTCTGACTCAGTGTCACGCATAACAGCTTCACTAGTTTCACTGCTTGTGAAATGCCCTGTGCTCCACCTATGTGTCTGTCTCCGCCTTCTCCTGGACTCCTGACCTCTTTACTGTCTGTCTAGTTTTGCATTTTCCAGAATGTCCTAGAGTTGGTGTCATGCGGTATGCATTAAGGTTCTTCTGTGATTTTATGTGGCTTGATACCTCACTTCTTGCTGTTGCTAGGGAACACTCTGGTGTGTGGATGTACCAGTTTGCTTATCCATTCACCTACTGAAGAACGTCTAGGTTGCTTCCAGTCTGGACAGTTGTGAAGGAAGCTGCTATAGACCCAACTGATGGCGTTTGGGAGAAGCCGTCTTTTGCAATTCTTTTCTGATCCGGGGTTCACTGCGCAGCCCCTCCTTGCAGTCAGCTGTCCTTGTCTTTGGCATCCTTGAATCATGAGCAGTTCCTCGGACTTCCTGCGCCTTTGTGGCCTTGCCGATTTGGGAGAGTCCTGGCAGCCTGTTCCACAGAATGACCTCGGGTGGGGTGCCCGATGCTGTCCGTGGGCTACACGCACACTCTGCATCTTCAGTAGCAGCATCTCAGAAGTGACACTGTGTCCTCCTTGGGGCGTGTCTTCAGAGCATCATGGAAGTGACACTGTGTCCTCCTTGGGGCGTGTCTTCAGAGGCATCGTGGAAGTGACACTGTGTCGTCCTTGGGGCGTGTCTTAGAGGCACATTGATGTTGGTCTGCCCTGTTTGGTGAGGCTAACTTTGGTCATCTGATTATGGTGATGTCTGCCATTTTCCCCTTTGAAAGTGATGTGCAGTCTGTGGGAATATACCCTGAGACTGTCCTGTAAACACCTGTTTCTTGTCACATCTTTGCCCAGTAGTTTCAGCATCTACTGATGATAGCCTGAGTCTACTATTCCTGTGATGATTATAAGATGGGGATTTTCTATTGGGACAGTAGGTGAAATTTGAACATGGTCTGTGATGAGAGCATAGTATTGTATCCTAAATTTGATGATTACACTGTGGTTATAGAGGAAAAGGTTATTTTTAGGAAATACATGCTGAGGAATTTAGGAATAAAGGGACAATATGACTGCAACTTATTCCCCAATGATTTAGAGACACAGGAGAGAGAGGCACAGAGAATGAACACAAATGTGGCAAAAAATGACCAATTAGAGAATTTGGGTGAAAGGTATGTGAGACTTCTTTGTTCTTTGTCTTCTTAAAACTCTGTATGCTTGGAATTATTTAAAAAAGAACAAAAATACTTGAGTAAAGGAAATCAAAATATTTACAGTAGAAAAAATTCCATTAGTGTACCAGCAAATTAAATAGAAGCAAGATCAGAACACCATTCCAAAACAATTAAAGGTACATTTGTCCTTTGCACATGGGCTTTGCTGTGATGTCACTCATCAAAGTGTAGCAGTAGGTTGAATATCTGAGGCTTTGATGCCAAAGTAAAGTAGACCTGTGGCCAGGACGGATGCAACCTCAGCTGCTTCCAGGGGCCTCGCAGGCAACGTAAGTGACCAAAGTGCATCAGGTTACATGGGTCTTCACAATGCTTGCCTCTCCTCCTGACTCTGCTGTAAGGAAAACCGGAGTGGCCAGAATCCGAGATAAAGATCAGCTGATGCTTGGCCCTGGAGAATGGGGTTGGGGGTGGCTGCAACACTCTGGACCGGACGGTGTGCCCCCGTCTCCCTGGGCCAGTACTCAGCTTCCGCACACCGTTCCCGTGTGGGGATGCAGGTCTGGGTCATCAGACCTGCCAGTTAGCCAGAGAAGTGGGGAATCTAGGTTTCCATTCAAAGTTTTCTGATTGTTAAATGTCAGTGACCAATGAAAACAGTGTTTATGTGCAGCGTGGGTCAAACCTGTGGACAGAGTCAGGGGCTGTGTCTCGGATCTTGGCTAGAGAACCCTGGGAAAAGACGTGGGACACAGTGGGCACCTGGCTAATGAGTGCATCAGCAGCAGCTCGCTAGGAGCCGTGGCTCACTTGTCTCCGGTTGCCACAGGTACATTTTATTTGATGGTGACGTGGATGCTCTATGGGTGGAGAACATGAACTCTGTGATGGACGACAATAAGCTGTTGACGTTGGCCAATGGGGAACGCATTCGGCTCCAAGCGCACTGTGCTCTGCTCTTTGAGGCAAGTAATGATAAGAGAAGACACATGTTTTAGCTTCAATTTTACATGTTTGTTAAAGTAGTAATAAACATGTTGTTGTTGTTATGTGCCGTTGAGTCGGCCCCAACTCACAGCGACCCCTCCTTGGGTTTCCGAGGCAGTATCACTATGGAAGTAGATTGCCCCATCTTCCTTCCGAGGAGTGGCTGGTGGGTTTGAACTGCCAGCCTTCTGGTTAGCAGTCAAGTGCCTTAGGCACTATGCTACCAGAGCTCCCAGTAATAAATGTAAATGATTATAAAACCAAATAATGCTGAAGAGTTTATGGTAAGTAAAACTCTTTTCTTTCCACCTGGTATCTTCTTCCCTTCTTGACTCTACTCCAGTGGCAACTACTTTTCACTCTTGAGTTAAATGGTTTCCTTGGTATCTATAAAGTAATATATTTAGCTTGCCGTTCCTTTATCAAGTTTGCATATTATCTGTTGATTGCTATGAAGGCAAGTACTCACTTCAAAACCCATCACCTTTTTCTCAGAACAATATGGTATTAAATCAATTTTTAGTAAAGAAGGACAATTATGAAAATATTATTTACTGTAGAGCCAACTGGTTGTTGTTGTTGTTATGTGCTGTCGAGTCAGATCCGACTCACAGTGATTCCTCCTTGGGTTTCTGAGGGAGTATCACTACGGAAGTAGATTGTCCAACCTTCCTTCTGAGGAGTGGCTGGGGGGTTTGAACCACTAGCCTTCTGGTTATCAGTCAAATGTCTTAGGCACTGTGCTACCAGAGCTCCTGCAGAGCCAACTAGTATACTGTTATTACTTTCTTTTAGAGCCATTTGTTTTGCCTGGAGTTTCTAGTTGTCGTCTTTTTCTTCTTGCAGTATTTGCCTGTACCTTATCCTCATCTCTTTTTCAAACTTTCTAGCATAGCAAATGTCTCTTGCTTCTCTTCCCCCGCCCCTGGCGACCACTCTCTGGGGGGGCCCTCCATCTTCTGCTTACAGTATGGAGTGCTTGTCCTCTGGTCCTGAGTCACAGCTGTTACCCTGGAAGACCCTTTCACTTTAGTTTAAGATTAATGATAACCCTAGACTGCAGAATGTGTTTATATAGCCACAGTGCATGAGTCTTTGTACATATCATCATCTGACTGGCTGTCTGACATGTGTTTCTCTTTTTCATGGAGAAAGAGGTAGGTGAGTCAGTATTGCTGGTTTAGAGAAATACTTATTTAGTTTTATATTACCTGATCTTGATGATATTTAAAAAATATAATACTAATAATAAAAAAAACCCAAACAACTGCAAGACAATGTTTGTCACTGTGTGATGGGATTTTTTTAAACAATGCTCTATTGTGTTTTTGGTGAAGCTTTGCAGAAAGGTTTATATTCCCATTCAATAATTTCTACACAAGTTGTTCACTGGTTACATTCTTCACAATGTGTAAACAGTCTCAGTATTTCCATTATGGTGCTCCATTTTGTGTGGTGGGATTTCTGATCATTTATTTTCCTTTTTATACTCTTCTACTTTTGCCAGATATTGAACATCATTTTTAACATTAATTTTATAGTAAGAGAAAACTAAAGAGGTATGACATCATAAATTCATTATCTTCCCATCACAAACCTCTAAGTCCTCAGTTAGATGCCTCTCAGGAAAGCTGTCTTAGTCTGGGCGTGACTTGGGTTTTATGCAGTTGTGAAAACTGTGTGCACATGCAGGCTCTTCACCAAGCTGTAGACGTGACTGATTTTTTTCTTTTTTTAAATTTCTCCAGGTTGGAGATTTACAGTATGCCTCTCCTGCAACTGTATCTCGATGTGGGATGGTCTATGTGGATCCTAAAAACTTGAAATATGAGCCGTACTGGAAAAAATGGGTTAATCAAATACAAAATAAGGTGAGAATTATTTCTAAAGTAAACCAAAAGCTATGGTAGTTGGATAAACATAACCCAGAGGGGTGACTGTAGTTGAAGCACATGACCTCGACCTTCCCATGACCTTGAATACTTTGATAGTGTTAGCAATGCATTGGATAAAAACATGGAAAACATTATATTTCTACGTAATCCTTGGCTGATGGAAATGGTAATGATTTTGGTGGTCTAGACCAGGAGTCAGGAGGTTTTGTATAAAAGGGCAAATAATAAATATTTTAGACTTTGTGGGTTTCTTTTGCTGCTGCCTGTAACTCTGCCATTGTGTCATGAAAGCTGCCCTGGAGAGCATTAGCAAATGGGCATGGCTGTGTACCCAGAAAACGTACTATTGGCAGAAGCAGATGACAGGCCAGATTCGGCACAGGACATAGTTTCCAGCCCCTGGTCCAGACAAGCCAGCTTCTACGAGACATGTACCCGCGGGTGCTCAACACCCATCTATCTGTTCAGTGGGCTGAGTACAGGGTGTGAAGGACCCAACTTGCCATGTTCTAGTGGACCTCAAACCACATGATATGTCTCTTGGCTGTTAGAAAGTATCTGTTTTCTCAGTGATGGATGTGACAGTCCCCTGTGCAGCTTGGTGGCCTGACCACACCCAACACACTATGCCCACATTCCCTAAGAAGGCCACTGGGCTCATGCGGGATTGGAAACTAGGACATAATTACCTCCAACAAGAAAAGACCAAGGGAAAAGGAACAGGACTCTCTGAGGCACTGTCATATGGGAGAGGAACCGCTGGGGGACTCATGTTCCTACTGTCACCAGTTCTTGATCAGCAGAGGGTCCTTCCACTACTTCACTCTTTTCTGGGTGACTGTGACTACCTCACTTGGCGCTAAGATGACCAGCCCCTCTGTTGTCAAGTGGGACCTGTCATCCCACCTTCTCCCCACCAGGGTCAAGGGGCAGGCTCTTTGGGAATGAAACGAAATGCCCCCTAATGAAATGAAAGTGTTGTAAAAGCCAGCTCCATCCACGGAGCTAAGACCCTGTCATCAGGGCACTCACTGCCCCACTTTATCATCCATCACAAGTTGCTCATCCTCTTTTGACAAACAGAGCTTTCCACTGACTTCCTTTGAAATCAATGAGCTCTTGAACCTGCTTTGGAATCTCCCCTTCATAGGTGGAACAAGGTGCTTTACAGCGTCTCTTTGAGAAGTATGTGCCCTATCTCATCGATGTGATAGTGGAAGGAATAGTGGACGGGAGACAGGGTGAGAAGCTGAAGACTATCATTCCTCAGACAGACCTCAACATGGTAAGAAACAATCTTGCTAGCAAACAAGATCCTTTCCTGAAGGTAGACCCACGGTGGGTTTTTATGGGAGCAGACACCAGATGCCTAGTAACATTGTAGGTCACTATCAGGGAAGGAGGAGCTCTGGTGGCAAAGTGCCTAAGGCACTTGACTGCTAACCAGAAGGCTGGCAGTTCAAACCCACCAGCCACTCCTCGGAAGGAAGATGGGGCAATATACTTCTATAGTGATACCGCCTCGGAAACCCAAGGAGGAGTCGCTATGAGTCGGGTCCCACTTGATGGCAAATAACAACAACAACATCAGGGAAGGTAGTGACACTTTCCTTGGTGACACTGGGCAGGATAAGATGTGGGACTCCATCTATCTGAACCAAAATGGTGGGCCAAGTGCCTGGGTCTTGCAGAGGGTTAAGTGTTTGACTTCTTGAACCCATCCAGAGGTTCCTTGGGAGTCAGGTCTGGCGAGGTGCTTCCGAAAGAGCACAGCCACTGGACTCTGTGGGGCATAGTTCTACTTGGCACACAGGCGGCTGCCATGGGGTGGAATTGACACGGCGCCAACTGCTTTGCTTTCTTTCTTTCTTTCTTTCTTTTTTTTATGTTCCTATAGCTCTGGGATCTGGGAACCTGGGATTTATTACTGGAAATGACCATGTGTGGGTAGAATACATGGACTGAACCAGGTATTCTTCTGTAAACCAGGTAACCCAGTTAACCAAGATGTTGGATGCGTTGCTAGAAGGAGAAATTGAAGACCCCGATCTCCTGGAGAGCTTCTTTCTCGAGGCACTGTGTTGCTCTCTGGGGGCCTGCCTGCTGGAGGAAGGCAGGGTGAAATTTGATGAGTGTATGAAACGCCTCGCTTCCCTGTCTACCATTGACACAGATGGGGTCTGGGCTGGTCCCGGGGAATTGCCAGGTAGGAACCGAGCACAACCTGTCTGCCTGCTCTGAGCGTTTTTGGTTCGCCCTTCCTTCTCCACGTTAAAGCATTTATGGGTTACCCAGCATGTTTGCTTCTGCAGAGTAACGTGCCCCGTAACCAGAACACCTGGTGGAACCCCAGGAGAAGTTCAGGTGCGTGCCCTGCTCAGTGGGGCCCGCCGTCGGATGCCTCTCTGCTGAGGTTAAGCTTTGTCTCACTGGAGCGCAGGCGCTCGCGCCCTCCCGCTCTCTGCTCCGATCTTTAGGTTTCATGTCTGGCCTCCTGTTGGAGTCTCTTCTCCCTGGCAATTCCCTGTCTGGTCTTCTGTTTTGTTTTATAACCACCTCTCTTTAAAGTCCCATGATTTAATTCATCGGCTCTTCCTGACTGGAGCATTTGTGCAGGTGTGGGTTTGTAGATCATTTAGGAAATTATCCCATTAAGGCATTAGAAATTTTTCCATGGAAAGTACATTGTCAAAGGATTGTATACATTGAGGCAGTTAACATCATCTAAATGTGTGTATGAACTCACTGCCGTCAAATAGGATCCGACTCATAGTGACCCCTCCTTGGGTTTCCAAGGCGGTATCACTATAGAAGTAGATTGCCCAGCTTTCCTTCCGAGGAGTGGCTGTGGGTTTGAACCGCCAGCCTTCTGGTTAGCAGTCAGATGCCTTAGGCATGATGCCACCAGAGCTCCCAAATGTGTGTGTGGCAATAAGAGAATAAAGACAGATTCTAAATAAAGAAGGATTCTAATGTTTCCATGTATGTTACATACAAGCATGCACATGCAAATGTGTGTAGTAAGAGCATGCCTATATGTAACATACATAGAAACATTATAATCCTTCTTTATTTTCTTATTGCCATTTGAACATGGCCTGGCAGATAGGTCAGTTTCTAAGTCGGTGTGGTAGTTGAGTTTGTGTGTCAACTTGGCTAGGCCTGGTTGAGGGGCTAGGCACCTGTATGTAGTAGTTCTTCCCCATGGTAAGATTAGTAATTAACTCCATGGTGGAATGTATTGGAGCAGCTGAGTAGCTGCTTTAGGGATGTGGTCTGCTTCCCGTATATAAGAAGCAGTTTTAGGAATGGTCTTCAGCATATGACACACTTGAACCCTGCATGTAGCCATGTCATTATTCAGAAGCCTGCCATGCTCTGCCCACCTTGGGACTTTCAGTGGACTTGAATTAATGGCCTGCTGTGTGGTTTGGTAACATCAGGACTGTGCCATTTTATTTGTTGACCGTGGGCTTGTCAGCCTCAGCAGCCAGTAGCTGCCTGAGTGAAGAGATGCCTCTAGCTTCAGTGGGCTGGGAGCAGGAGGCAGAGCTGGACCCCAAGGTTGAGGGGCTTTCACTCAGCCCCTAGAGCCTGGTACTTTGAACTCGGACTTCTACCCTCCTGAACTGTGAGCGTTTAAACTCCTGTTTGTTGAGGCCATCCCATTTGTGGTATCTTCCTGCCAGAGTGGCACTTGGTAACCAGAACAGTCTCTTCAAAGAGACTCTCTTTGCCTGGACACTCTCTTCAAAGCCCCCACATCATTGCAGTTTTGTGGACCCTACTGCTTGGTAGCTCGTGAGTCATTCATATCTCTCCTCCCCACTGTTCCTGTTGTCTTTACCCGGGCCGAGGTATGTCCCCCTTGTCTCCAATCTTACCTCCTCAAATCCATTTTCCCATTATAGCCAGCCACAATAAAACCAAAAAACCAAACTCACTGCTGTGGAGTTAAATCTGACTCATAGCCACCTCTCCTTGGGTTTCTGAGGCGTTATCACTATGGAAGTAGATTGCCCAATCTTCCTTCCGAGGAGTGGCTGGTGGGTTTGAACCGCCAGCCTTCTGGTTAGCAGTCAGATGCCTTAGGCACTAGGCCACCAGGGCTCCCAAAGATCCGTAAATGCCAATCTGAGCACATCCCCCTGCTTTAACTCTTCAGTGACCTAGTCCCTTTGAGCTAGACCCTTGAAGTGACTGACCGGGCCCTTTGTGATGTGCCCTGCAGCCTTCCTGCCTCCCCCCCATTCTTCACCCCTTAAGTTCTTTCCCTTCCTTGGACTCCCCCTGTACCTGTTGCCTCCAAGTCTTCCCTTGAGCTCAGTCCTTCCTGACAGTCTTCTGACTGTCCCATTGCTCTTGGGCCAGGATTACGGTCCTTTGTCTCAGATCCTGGCATTTCCCGCAGGGCCTTCTGGATGAGTGTCTGGTGGCTGCCATAACACAGTCCCGCAGACTGGGTGGCTTCATACCCCAGTGATATATTCTGCGGTTCTGGCAGCTGGGGATCCAGAATCGTGTCAGCAGAGCCCATTCCTCCTGACGGCTCTGGGGGAGGCTCCTCCAGCCTCCGGTGGCCCCATACGTTCCCTGACTTGGGGCTGCGTCACTGCCGTCTCTGCTCCCCGTCGCCATGCGCTCGTCCCCTGTGTGTGTCTGCGTCCTCTCTCAGGACACCGGTGATTGGATTTAGGACCCACCCTCGTCTTGTATGACCTCATCTTGAGTGATTACATCTGCATGGATCCTGTTTCCAAATAAAGTCACGTTTTGAGGTTCTAGGTGGAGGCGGTATTATGAAGGGACACTAGTTTAAACCACTACCCTTTCCTTGCAGTTGTGGCTCCAGGGAGGAAGTAAAGGTGGCAGCGTATAGGGGAGAGTCCATGGGGACTCTTGTCTTCGAGCTAGGCTTGCCTAGCACTGCTGTGAAGGACTGAGGCTCTCCCAGCCACCCCAACCGTGCACCCCCTCCTCACTCTTTCCTGCCCCATCTTGGTTACACGCCAGCTGCCCCGTCCCTCCCCGTTACAGAACGTAGTGCTCTGCGTTGAAATTGCCTGTTTGCTTGCCACTGTCTCCCGCCACCCGACCCACCAACAACTGTAAGCCTGGGGACTGAGGCTTTCTGTCTCAGTCTTGTATTCCCAGCACAGGGAAGAGACTCAGCAGGTGTCTGACCACTGACCAGCTACCACTGGTTCAGAGTACTCTGTGTGCCCAGTGAATGAGCAGGGTCAGCTCAAAGGACTCAGTAAGGACCTCCCCAGAAACAGCATCAGTTTCTGGACACTCAGTAAACATCTGTCCGGGGCATCAGTTCAAAATTCTCAGCTGGTGGAGACAAGTATTGGCTTGGGTGAAGGGAAGGGCAGTGTCCCCAAAGTGAGTGGTCAACATGGTGGCACGGAGAGGTACACAGGAGGGACAGGCAACAAAGATAAACCCTTTCAAAAAAAAAGCTCTCTGTCCAGCGGCCGGGTAGTGCTAGTGCAGAGTACTCACTGAGTACACCCCCGGCAAGCAGGCGGCATGAGCTCGCAACACTCAGTAAGTACGTCCCCGGTGAGCAGGTGGCATCAGCTTGTTCCAAGCCCATCCCAGAACTGCTTCTGTGTCACTCGGTCTGTGATCAAAGAGAAACAGACAATTGTTTTCTATAGGTCAGCTTCCAACCTTGTACGACTTTCATTTTGATTCCAAACAGAAGAAATGGATCCCATGGAATAGACTGGTTTCAGAGTACATTCATGTTCGTGAGAAGAAATTTGTTGACATCCTGGGTAAGTGGGACCTGGGCCCTGGCCCGTGGGGTAAGTGTTTCGTGCAGTGAGGCGTGAGAGAGGTCACTGGCTTCCTGGGTTCTCTGAGTTCCACCTGGAGTGCTGACTGAGAAGAACCGAGGAAAGCGGGTGCAGGCCTTGCCTGCAGGGCGGCCCTTCTGGTGCCTTTTCTGTGCTACTGGGCCTCCTCAGGCCTCTGACTCTCGGCACGCTCCCTGGGCAGGTGTTGGTACTTTGCTTCTCCTCATGTTCCGTGGAGTCCCTTCAGCCCACAGAGCTGGCTGGGTGTGGGAAGGAGCAAAGAGAAGGAGGGAGTGTTTGGTAAAAGGTGCTGCCTTCGAAAGCCCTGTACTATGGACGTCTGCACAGTCTGGTTGCACTCCGGTTGTTTTATATAAACTGTGGGATGAGTAGTTTCCCATACTACACGATTTCAGTCTCTTGTTGTTAAAGAGTGAGACACACCTGTTTTCTCAGGAACCAATAGGATTAACAACAGCCGAGGTAGGAGTGAGACACACCCCACATGGTGTTACTTGCTCCCTTCAGAGGAATTTGCTGATCAGGAAGCCAGACACCATGGGGGTATGGGTGACATAATCAGTGGAGAAGTTGAGTTTTTAATATCTTGGATAGAAATCAGAATTGTCCATTAAGGGCAGCTTGGATGCCCTAAACCTGGACCATGGTAAAGATAACCCCCCTGTAGAGATGTCGTGGGTGAATCTTACGGTGTGTAAGTTGTACACCAATAAAACTGTGAAAAGCAACGGTTTGCGTCCTGAGTTTCTCCTGAGAGGATTCTACCCCTTCTGGGACACATTTTGGCTTTGTTGTTGTTGACTTACAGATTTTGTGAAATGCCCAAGTTTCCAACCGTACATGCTACCTGGAGTTCCTGGAACGCTGCCATTCTTAACACGTTTTTGTTTTGTTTTAATTTTTAGTTCATACAGTGGATACAACCCGCACAACCTGGATGTTGGAGCAAGTGGTTAAAATTAAGCAGCCTGTTCTCTTGGTTGGTGAATCTGGTACCTCTAAGACAGCCACCACCCAGAACTTCCTCAAAAATCTGAATGAAGACACAAATGTAAGTCATCACCTGTAGTAGTTAGCTAATGCTGTGTGACACAGGACCCTAAGCTCACTGACTGAACACAGACATACCTGTTACCTTGTGGTGTCTGTGGGTCTGGGTTCCAGGAGTAACTCAGCGTGGTGGCTCCTGCTCGGGGTTTCTCATGAGCGTGTGGTGAGTTGTTGGCCAGGGCTGAGTCAGCTGAAGGCTTGACTGTGACAGTTACGTGAGTATATTCCTTTTTCATACTGAGTATGGCTTGGTGTATTTCATCTCATCTGATATACTTTCTCTGTGAAGTAGCCTGGGTGGATGTTACTAATATCATCTCACAGATGAGGAACATGAGGCTCTGACAGGTTAAAAGACTTCTCCAGATAATTTGCTTATTCTAGATACTTCATAAAAGAAAAATTATTCAACATTTCTTCAAATACTTGATTAGTTTTTAACTGCTAAAGCAAGAATGTCTTTCCTTTTGACAGGGTATAGTCCCTGCCTCTCCCTACCCCTACCTGATCTACTGCCCATCTATCTGTCCATTCATCTGTTTATCCATCTCGCCATCCACCTGTCCATTTATTTGTTCATCTCTCTGTCCATCCATCCATCCATCCATCCATCCATCCATTCATTTATCAGTCCATCTGTCCACCCATCCATCCATCTGTCCATTCATCCATCCATCTGTCCATCCGCCCATCCCTCCATCTACCCATCTGTCTGTCCATCCGTCCATCCATCTAAGGTGCCATCCCCATTGTCCACTTCCTGCTGAGCAGTGCCTTCCAAGGCCCACGTGTAGCAGGTCACCATTGGTTCATACACCATCCCAAAATGAGGGAGACATTCTGCTTCAGCAGTTAAAAAATAATGAAGGACCTGGAGAGATACTGAATGAGTTCCCTTTAATGAAGTATCGAGAATGAGCAAATGCATTAAGACAGAAGAAGTTCAGTGGTTCCCTGGGGCTGGGAGGCAAGAAGGACGGGAAGTTAAGCACAATGACGCCAGTGCTGTCTCTGTACGAAGCATAGCCACTAATCCACAGGAGAGGTCAAAGGCAGCCTGTTGAAACTCCCAGCACGGCGCGCTTGGTTGCAGACTTAAGTCATATCTCTCAGGATGATGCACCAGCTGCTGGTCCGTAGTTGGGAATCATCTGTCACAGCTGAGCGTGTCAGCGGTCAGGGAGGAGAGAGACCATTGCTGCTAGAGCTGGGTCATCATGACGTGTGTGTCTGACTCTGAGACAGTGTTGCTGGCAGCCCCTAGTTTTGGACTCAAGGCTCCTAGGCTTTTTATCCTCTCCCACCTTCATCATCTGTTGTGGAAAACCAGGCCTTCTCATTTTCCGGGAGGGGATGTCCCCCTGTTCAGGGACTTGCAGAGCTGCAACCAGAGGAGTCCAGGTAAACTGAGACAGTGAGTCACCCTACTCATCCCCACAGTGCTTTTTTTTTTTTAACTTCCTTCAGCCTGTTTCTGGGACCTGGTCCTGACAAACAAGCAGCCGTACAAACTATTGAACGATGACGTGTAGACTCCCACTGGGGTATGAAGAAGTGAGCTTGGATGCCAGGGAGCCAGTGAAACAGATGCTGGCATTTGCTGCTGATGCCACGAGGAGTAGCCCCACTTTCCAAATGGTCTCGTTGCAGATTGTGTTGATAGTCAGCTTCTCGTCCCGTACCACGTCCCTGGACATCCAAAGAAACTTGGAAGCAAATGTGGAGAAACGGACCAAAGACGCTTATGGCCCACCGATGGGGAAGCGCCTGCTGGTGTTCATGGACGACATGAACATGCCTAAGGTAGTGTGAGGAGGTGGCAGGGACGGCCAGTGTGTGATGTTGGCCTGCGCGAGGACGCCTGCCCGTGTCCTTCAGCAGCTGCAGGGCTCAGGGTGTGGGGGCCAGCTGAGCAGAGAGAGTTCCTGAGGGGCTCAGCTTACACAGGGACTGTTCTACCGATGGTGTTTCTTAGAGGGCAAAGGGCATGGGGCAGCCTCTGAACTCTGAGCATGTGCGTGAGGGAGTGGTCTGCAGAGAAGCGTCCTTTAGATGGTAATGTGTTCTTGGCAGTAGATCCCGGGACGCGTACAGGCAGACACCTCCTGAGGACGGCTTGGCATCCACCACACGGAATGGAGAGCTCAGCATGACTGATGAGTGGGTTTCTGGGGCCCGAAGCGGGGAAGTCCCAAGTTGCCTTAGTATAGTGGCATTTTAATTGATATCATTTCTGCAGAATCTTTTTTTTTTTTCCCTGAAAGTCTGTCTGCCAGGTGGACTATATGGAATCCATCCTTCATCTATGTGTTTATCATCTATCCACCTGTTTATCTGCTCATTCACCCACCCACTTATCCATTCATTCATCTGTCCGTCCATTTATCTGTTTTTCCATCTGTCACCCGTCCATCCATCCACCTGTTTATTCATCCTTCCATCCATCCCTCCATCTACCCATCAGTGTATATATCCATCCATCCAGTTGTCAGCCACCCATCCATCCATTTTAATCCATCTGTTCATCCATCCACCCATCCATTTATCTGCCTATCCATCTATCCATCCATCCACCCACCCATTCATCCATCAGTGTATGTTTGCTGAGTGCCTTCTATGGGACCGGGGTTGCACAGTGATGTAGCTCCTGCTCTAATGAAGCTGACAGTCTGAGGAAGACAGCCTTTTAAAAAAATTTTTATTGTGATTTGGGTGAAGTTGAGAGAGCAAATTCATTTTTCATACAGCAGCTCACATACACTTTGTCTCATGACATTGACTACAATTTCCCGTGATGCAACAGCTCCCCTCCCACTTCCTCCCCATAGTTACCTCTTCCCTGTGTCCTTCCCTCCATGTGCTCCTGCCCCTTGAGCTGTCTCCCTGTGCATACACAGCCCTTCTTTCTCCCATGATTGTTCTCTCCAAGGAGTGTATCTACCTAATGTAAATGTTCAGCTCATATGCCTGTCTCTTGTTTGGCTGGAAGCCACAGGAGTGGGTTCAACTCCATACCTAAAGGACAACTAGGGGCCATAGTCTCAGGGGTTCCATCAGGCTCTATCAGACCAGCAAACCTGGTCCCTTTTTATTTTTTAATGATTTTGAGTTTTGTTCCACATTGTTCTCCCATTCTGTCCAGGATCTCCTACAGAGATCCCCCTCCGAGTGGTTGACAGTAGTAGCCGAGCACCACTGTCTAGTTCTTCTAGTCTCTTAGTCGTATAGGCTGAGGATCACATGGTGTACCAGTCACTTGGACTAATTATTTCTAGGCGTCTTTGGTTTTGGAAGACAGACTTTTAAAAGATGATCACAAATGAATGGATAATTGTAACTTTTGGGAAGTCCTGCGATGTTCAGAACCTGGTGCTCTGAGTGGAATTAGGAGGGATGACTGCAATTTTCATTTCGATGGTTAGCAGAGGCCCCTCAGAGTTCTGCTTTGTGATTCCACTGCCTTTCTTTGCTTTCCAAACCCAAGGTGGATGAGTATGGCACACAGCAGCCAATCGCCTTGCTGAAACTGCTCCTGGAAAAAGGCTACTTATACGACCGTGGGAAGGAGCTGAACTGTAAGAGCATCCGAGACCTGGGCTTCATCGCAGCCATGGGAAAGGCCGGAGGCGGCCGCAATGAAGTCGACCCCCGATTTATCTCGCTATTCAACGTCTTCAATGTACCGTTTCCTTCAGAGGAATCTCTGCATTTAATTTATTCCTCCATCCTGAAGGGCCATACCTCGGTAAATAAACCAAAACCAGCCCCCCTGCTGCTGAGTCAGTTCTGACTCCTAGTGACACTGTGGGACAGGGTAAGACTGCCCCATGGGGTTTCCAAGGCTGTGAACCTTGACAGAAGCAGACTGCCACATGTTCCACAGAGCAGCTGGTGAACTTGATTTGGGACGCCAGTGCTGTCTCTGTACAAAGCATAGCCACTAATCCACAGGATTAGCCAAGCTTTACCCTCTGTGCTATAGCTCGGCGGCATGATGTAAATTAAATGTCTAGGCCTTGTGTTGGGTAGAGACATATACAGGGCCATTGGTCTTAGACACAGCAGCACAGTGCCAAGGTCCGCGATACAGTCAGGGGCCCCCAAAGACATCCTAATTTCTTTTAAAATTAGAAGAAAATTTATACCAACACAGTCATAAAATGCAATTCTTAATTTTCTGATGGAGCGAAGGGCCCACGGACGTTGTGATGTGGCCTTGTGTATGCCACACTGAGTCACGGCAGGGAGTGAACGAGGGGACTTGGCTTCTGGAGTCGGGCCCCATTATGTTCCTGGGCACATCCCGGGAACTTTGTTCTCCCTGTTTTCTCATCTGGGTGGGGAGATACGGATGTGCCCGCCTCGGCAGGTCTGGGGGAGATGAACGCAGAGATGGCACGTGTCGTGTGCAGCACCGAGCCCGGCACAGAGTGGGAACACCCTAGATAGTGCTGACTGCTGCTGTTACTAGGATTTCCTTGGCCCCTGAAATGAAACCTATTCATTTCGGTAACTTCTTTCTGATTCTGGCATTTCACTTCTGAAGTGGGGTTTGCAAATCAAAGGCTTGGGGGCTTGGAGGGTAAGATAAAGGTGTAGAGTGTCCACATGGGGACAGCAGGGCTGGGGGGGGATCTGGGGTGTTCACGCCCTGCCTCTAGGCATCCACCTGCAAAACCAGGGCCCACACTTGTCAACTCAAACTCAGACTGAGGCCGCCTCAGAGGCCACCATTATGTGGGATGTAAGGAAATCGACAAAGATTCGATGGGCTTCTCTGCACTTTACATTTTTGTTTCTTACCTTCTGTTTGCTTATTGTAGTAAAATACACGTCACATGAAATTTAACCACTTTAACCATTTGAAACTAACATTCAGTCCATTCATAGTGTTGTGTGACCATCACTACTGTCTTACTCCAGGCTCCCTTCATCCCCCGAAAGGAAACCCATATCCGTTAGCAGTCCCTGCCCGTTCCCTTCACCACACAGCCCGCACGCAGCCACATTGCTTTCTGTCTCAGGATTGGCCTGCTCTGCGTGTCTCATGATGGGCTGTGTGGGCTTGGTCCTTCGGCGTCCCACTGCCTTCACTGAGCGTGAGTTTTCAGGGTTCAGCCCCATTGTACCAGGACGTCTAGCTTTTCCATGGCCACACAGCATTCTACACGGTAAGGAAGAAACACCCTTTGTCCATGCGCTCACCCGTTCGTGGACACCTGGGGGTGTTTTTCATGTTTCAGACCTTCTGTGAGAACGTTGTGGCCGTGAGCGACACGCTGACACTCTGCACGTTGGCGCTCTACAGAACCATCATTCAGGAGCTGCCCCCCACCCCTTCCAAGTTCCATTACATCTTCAACCTCCGCGATCTCTCACGAGTGTTCAACGGTCTGGTCCTCACCAGCCCAGAAAGGTGTGTTGCCTTTCGGACGTAAGCATGGCCCCAGGTAGTAGGAGTTCTCCGATTCTTTAAGGACAGAGGGCTTGCCAGTGGATCTGGTGTGCCCACTGCGTCAGTCGGTTACTCAGTGCTTGTATGATAAACGAGAAGACCTGATGCGCTGGAAGCCCTCGAGTTGAAGATAGTTGGGATTAAGGGAAGGCGCCGTGCCGACGTGTGGACAGGTGTGAGAGAAGGCGCCGTGCCGACGTGTGGACAGGTGTGAGAGAAGGCGCCGTGCCGACGTGTGGACAGGTGTGAGAGAAGGCGCCGTGCCGACGTGTGGACAGGTGTGAGAGAAGGCGCTGTGTTGACATAAGGACAGATGTGTGACCCCCCCCCCCGGTGGGTCCACTGTGTCCCCCTCTCGTCCTTAGTTCCTCCGCTGGAATTGGCCTGTGTGAACCCTTTCACTCATGCACCTGAGTTGTTTCCAGTTGCCCCTTGGTCACATTCTGTGTGTCTTCAGGATAAGTGAGAGCAGAGGACAGAAAGGTCTCAGTGTGGGCAGAGAATTTTTCTCACTGAAGGTGGACTCATGTTGCCAGCATTCACATGTATTCCACACGGATCTGCAGGTGTAGTTCATTCATGTGGATTCACACTATGAATCAACACGATACTGAAAAGGAAATGAATGAAGGGCTGCCCCATGTCCGTGCTCACTCAGGTGCCTCTGGAAGGGTCTGGAAGGGCAGTTCAGGAGAGGGCAGCCCCAGGTGTTCAGGGCGGAGTGAGAGCCCTCTCCTGACACATGCCAGGTCCCCAGGTAAGGCGCCCCAGGGCCAGGTGGAGCTGGCTCTCAGGAGCAGGCGTGGCAGAGAGCCTGATGGTGGTTCCTGGCCCCCCGTGTCCCAGCAGGCAGGGGCAGGGCATGTCTGGGGACCCACAGGCCTTTCACTGGCTGATTTCCAGGAGTTCTCTCCAGAATTTTCCCTGCGATAGAACAAGTTACGAGCAACGGCGTTAGGTCCTTAGGTTCAATTCTTAGCTTCTGTTGGGCTCCCTGGTTAGATCTTGTGAATGTGAGACTAGGAAAAAAAGGACCGTTGACATGTTTGTCCTTTTCTGCATCCTGTGTATCCAACTGAATAGGCCGTTTAGCCCTGCGTGTCTGTCTGTGACTTGATTGCCCCTTTAACCACGTAGGTTCCAGACAGTGCCCCAGATGGTGAGGGTCTGGAGGAACGAGTGTCTGAGAGTCTTCCATGACCGACTGATCAATGAAGCCGACAAGCAGCTGGTCAGTATATCCAAACGAACAGTGGCTGCAGCCCTAGCCTAAAAATTCCCGTCAAGGTGAAATTGGCAAGTGTGAAACGTAACCCCAGTGTAGAAGCTAGTTTAACTTATAAATTTAATATCAATTAGTATAAGACAGTAATTGCAGAAAAACAGGTGCAATGAAAGTCAGCAAGGCAGGCGGGGGTGACTCAGGGCACCGTAGCAGTTGGCAAGATGTCTGTGAGGAGCTTCTCTTCGCTGACGAGGTTTAGCACCTGCTCTGTGTGTGAGCACGGGGCTTTAAGTGCTCTTACCTTTAAAGGTACAAGGCCACATAGGAAGCCTGGTTGGAGAGCACTTTAAGGACGACCTGGAGATGGTGATGAGGGACCCCATCCTATTTGGAGACTTCCGGATGGCTCTGCATGAAGAGGAAGCACGTGTCTACGAAGACATCCAGGACTATGAGGCGGCAAAGGCGCTGTTCCAGGTGCAGCCGGGGCGCCCTTCTCGATGGAAACGCTTCTTCCAGGCAGTGTGGGGCGAGCAGGTGGACCCAGCTGGGATACCCATGGCTCTGTGTCAGGCCCTGAGATACAAGCTTGTGTCCGACCCAGTGATGTCCACATGTGGTGGTGCACTGGGACCCCGGGCAATCGTTAGACACAGACTCCCAGAGCCCACCCTCCCCCAAGTTCAGCTCACCAAGCCTGTGGAGGGTCCCAGGGTTCCCATGGGCAGCCAGGTTTGGGAACCACTAGTTTCCATTTTAATTCACAAGGTGAGTCTTGTATTTGCTTTGACTTGCTGCTGGCACACCAAAGGCCAGGAACCAGACGGGGGTCCTGGTCGTGGGAATTGGATGAGTTGCGCCAATGCAAGTGATGGACTCATCTCAGCTCCCGTAGACTCTGATGGCCGTCTCTTCTCCATCCTTGGTCTCTCCTGGGCAGAAGGAGAGAGAGTCCGCCTCTGGAAATGCAGTGATTTTTTTCTTTTTAAACTTCCAGGAAATTCTGGAGGAGTACAATGAAAGTAACACCAAGATGAACTTGGTTCTCTTTGATGACGCCCTGGAGCACTTGACCCGCGTGCACCGCGTTATTCGGATGGACCGTGGCCACGCCCTGCTGGTTGGCGTCGGGGGCTCGGGGAAGCAGTCTCTTGCCAGACTGGCCGCTTTCACAGCAGGCTGTGAGGTGAGTCCTCTTCCTCCCGGACTTGAGTTTATCGTGCCACTCCGTGCTGCTGGTGGTTGATGCCCGCGTCACAGCCGCCTGTGGTTTTGTCAGTTGCCATGGGCACCTCACTTACAGCAGAAAGAAGCATGGCCTGGTCGTGACCACCCTCATGGTCACCGGTCTGCTCCGGTCCATGGTCACAGCCACTGTGGCAGTGCCTCAGACCTCGGGGCTCCTCTCCCAGCACGGGGTCAGACGGTGCTCTGCTGTGACCCCCATGGTTTTCGTTGGACACGTTTTGGGAGTGGGTCACCAGGCCTTTCCTCATAGTCTCTCCTGGTCTGGAGGCTTCGTTGGAACCTGGCCACCACAGGGGACACGGCTGGTGTTTGAAATACTGGTGGCGCACCTTCCAGCTTTGCAGCAACACGCGAGCATCACAGTGAGCCGGATGGACGGACGGCGGAGCAGTGTACAGCAAATCACACTACAGTGTGTTCATGAAGTGCAGCACTGGTTGTCTTCTGCTGTTGGCTTTGTCTAACTAAACAACAAAGCATCTAACTGCCCTACTGGTTTTGCAATAGAGAATGTGTCAAATCAGATTAAAAAGTCAAACACAGGTAGA